ACAATTTTTTTTATCTACATTATATATAATAAAATACTATATATAAAGAGAATATCCTTTTAATAACTATTTTTTACTTTATTTTTATATAGACTGTTTTATCCTTTATTTATATTTTTTCTCCATTTTAATATTTTTTTGACAGATTTTTTCATTTTACTGTAAAACTGAAAAATAATTTCTCACAAAAATATTTTTTTTTGTTTTTTTTTTATTTAAGAAATAAGAAAATATAATAACCATCCATTTATTTTACTTTTTGTTTATTTTTAGCCGAGACATGAAATATCTATCTTTTTTTCACTAATGTAAATAAACAAGTGTTAATAATTTTTTAAAGTTATATAATTAAACTCAAATATATTTTCTTTATTTTAAAAATATATATAAAATAATATGTATAAAAGGATATTATGTATAAAAAGAATATTCATTTTGATAATTGCCTTTTGATCTCTATTTTTATATAAAAATTTTTTATCTCTTATTTATATATATATATATATATATTTCTCCATTTTAGTCTTATTTTTTACAGATTTTTTTATTTTACTGTAAGACTGAAAAGTAACTCTAACAAAAATGTTTTTTTAATGTGAAAAAAAGGAAATAAGAGAATATAATCATTCATTTATTTTATTTATTTTTAATGAAAAGATATAATGCATCTTTTTCTACTAATCTATATTTATTATAAAGAGAATAGTGAGATATGTAATTATTTTTGGTATTCACTTTTTAATAGATTATTATATCACTCAAATAATAATAAAAAGTTTTATATTTTTTCTTTTTTAATAATTACATGTAACCTTATAATATTTTATTTATATAATTATTAGATACACGAAATATATCGATCTCTCTGCTATAAATAAATACAATATGTGTCAATAATTATCTAAAGTTAAATAACTAAACTGAAATATATTTTCTTTATTTTAAAAGTATATAAATATAAATTATAAATTCAAATAAAAAAGAAAAATGTGAATAAGAATAACTCCCCCCATAAATAACAGAAACACAACGCACACAGTTTCAGCAGCAGCAGCAGCGATGGAGGGAGGAAAGAGAAAATCCTCTCTCACCTCACAAACGGAGCCTCTCGACAACCCCCATTTTCAATTCTCCACTCCAATGCATCAACACCAATCTCATGTAAGTTGGGTTCTCTTCAAAATTTGAAATTTCCATCCAAAAAAAAAAAAAAAACCGACCTAACTACCTAACATCATTGTCACTATTTGCCATCTCCGATGTCTGTTGTGTTGCCATTATCAAACAAACCCATGTCTTCAAAATTTGATTTTGGTTGTTTTGGTTTTTATTTACACTTTCTTAATTGTGTTTTTAGTGTTGTTCTTTGATGAGAATTATAATTTTACTTTGACAATTTGTGTAATGGAAGTTCGTATTAAATGTCAGCTTAATTGTTTTTAGCGATGTTATCTAATCAGAATTGAAATTTTACTTTTTTGACAATTTGCTGAATATAAGTTTGTATTCAATGTCAGCATAAGCTATCAATGTGAAACTCTAATTGTATCTAAGTTTTGTGCTTTGTGTATTTCTGTTTGTAAATCGAGTTTTGATGAATATGGTTCTTCTAGTAATGGCGTGTTTGATTGTGCAGGAAATGGTGGCTTTGAAGAAGGCATATGCGGATGTGATTCTGAATACTGTGAAGGAGGCTGCGGGTGTTTACAACGGCCCGTTCTCAGGGAACTAATCACAGGTAAAATTTTCATTCAGAACGCCCTGTTCTAAAAAGAGAACGGGCCGTTCCAAACCAAATCTTACCGATCATTCTTTAAAAACAGGAACGGCCCGTTCTGAATACGTGCTTTCTCAGAACGGCCCGTTCCACGTGTTTCATTCTCGTTTTCAACTTCAAACTAAAAAAAAATTATCTTTTAATTTTTATACCACTCTACTATACAAACCTAACAATGATACATACATAGAACATATAAAATTTAAATTTTAAATTTACAAATATTTAAAAACTCTTACTTACTTGAAGCACCTGGACCACCAAATAAAAAATACGTTGGACCACAAACCGAACAAATGAATCTTGTGCAACCGAATACATTTAACTAATTTGATAGCGCTTGGCCCTCAGGCGTTTTTGTAAATTTGTACTGAGGTGCGCACCCAGACATGGCAAAACGGCTGGAGGGGATGCACTTTCAGTGTGCGGCATCGTCTACACATGGCGCCTGGGGGGGGGAGGCGCCATCAACAATCTTCTGCCACGTGTACAACACGCCTCCTCCCCCAACGTTTTCTTTTTGCCGTCAGCTTACATGGCGCCTGGGGGGGAGGCACCATCAACAATCTTCTGCCACGTGTACAACACGCCCCCCCCAGCGTTTTCTCTTCACCGTGCCACATCAGCATAGATGGCGCCTAGGGTGGAGGCGTTTTCTAAAAAACGCCCATCCCCCAGGCGTTTTCAGTTCCACGTGTATGCTTACCTATCCAAAATCACCTATTTCGGTAATTAGTTTTTTTTTTAATTTATTTCGTGTATTTTTATTTTTTTTTAATTTACTGAGGTCAAAAAGCCTAAAGGAATGTGTTCATGATTTCACCAAAAAAAAAAAAAAGGAGTGTTCACATTGTACCTTTCTATCCACATGTGACGGAGTTTCCACTTTTCAAGTTAGAGAATTGATTGAACACTTTAGGACGTATGACATTCAATGGAGAAATTAACTATCAAAATACATTTTATAATAGTGAAGTTGAGTCTAATTTAATCTTACAAAATTAGTTTGATATGTGAATAAATGGTGAGTGAAAAGACTTGAGTTTTTCTCAATACACCCTCTTACGCCTATGGTACATGTATCAATGGTGAGTAACCTATTTAGAGTGAATCTAAATAGCTCTGATACTAGAGTAGAATAGTGAATTTGAGTCTAACTCAATCCTACAAAATCGACTTGTAAGTTAAAGATTGTTTTCTTCTTATATATTCTTTAATTGCCTTATTTTTAGTTGATATGAGACTTGTGTTTTTTTCAATACATATATCACTTTAATGTCAATAAATAAAAGTGATATTTATAACTTTTGAGAACTCCAAATACTCTTTATAAAAAAATATACAATTTAGAAGAGGTTTTTTTTTTAGAGTTTTTTATTATGAATTTTTTTTTATTTATAATAAAAAATTCTTAAAAATACCTCTAAATTTGTATTCAAATAAATTTTTAATACATAATTACTCCAAAGTCTAAACACCTCATTTTTATTTATTTGTTTATTTCTTAACAATAATTACACTCAGGTTTAAATCTAAAACTTCATACATATTACTTTAATTTTTTAATGCTAAATTGAATTTATTGATTACTTATTATTTATCTCTCTTCCTATCAATTCATATTATCTATTTTAAGTTTTAACATTAATGTTTCTCTTTTTATCTCTCTTAAGTGTCATCTAAAAATTGGTGTTGCGCAATTATTTTCCATAAAGATATATGGATAGATAACTAGATATTGCATTTCTTGTGTCTTTTGGTTTTCATGTTCATCAATGACACCTTTGTTCTACAATAAACAAATTCCAGCTAAAGCCAACTGCTTGTCCCCTTAGAGAAAGAGTGAAATATACGAAAGAATCAGTGTTTTGCAGCATCGATTCTCAGTCTATCTTCTAATGAACCTTCCGTACGTTTTGTTTCCCATTCAATAGCTTGAGATATTGTCCATGAATATTTTCAAAAAGTCTAATAACTTCAACATCATTACACTTTAACCATATCATATCTTTGAAATATATGGTTAAAGTGAGTTTTAGCATAGATACTCATAAACAACAATACATCTTCGATCATTTCTATATAATACATGCAGTATCTATCAAAAAGTATTTTAAAAAATACATTGCTTAACGACTGAAATTGTGACAAAAGAAAATCCATAATTGGTAAGTAAT